AGAAATTTAAAATCAAATGGAGTGAATATGTTTATAGCTATGTTTCTATTTTTAAAATTACATGTTAACTCTATTTTTGTCACAAATATCCTTTTCCTTCTTATTCCATAACACAAGGGCACCTTAGCTGTGGTTTGTTCTTTGCTCCTGACGTTAAACAGCTTAGGTTACTTTGCTTTTAAATCATAAGGTCTGCTTTCTAACTTCCCCGAATTCTTCCTTGTGGTCAAATTAGTCTTGTGGCTGTTTGTACACCCATCTCCAGCAGCTTAATTCTATGAGCTCCTTCTAATTAGCATATCAAATCTGTTGTAGACAGAGACCAGTTAACCAAGCTTATTAGCACTCTATGTAATCTAAGAGTAAATAGGCTTTAAATAAGTGCTCAAAGGATTTTCTGAAGACTTGAAAGGTATGAGATTTTGCACTTGATTTTGTAACATTTATTCTGCCTGCTCCAAATTCCTTTCTTGACTCCTTCAATGCAGCTGAGATTGCCAGAGAACTGATTTCCAGAGGAGATACTCTGATTAATTTCTTCCATTCAGAACAGAAGCAATGATTCTAAGAGTTGCTTTAACAGAAATGTTTTTGTTTTAGTATACTGTTTGACAGTCTGTTTGGGTGGGAACAAAAATTTTATTCCCTAATGGGAGATCAGGAAAGGACTTGTACATGGTAAGTACTCAATAAATGATAGTTAAATTGGACTTTAAATTGGAATGTGCAATCTGATGAAGTACAAAATATAGCATTTTCATGTACTCAATGGTACTTAATGTGCTAAACTAAAAACAGAAACACAATCATGTAAAAATATACTAAAAAGAAGAGTGTAACAAAATACTGTTTCATTTAAATCATATGCTGGGCCCTGTTTGGTAAAGCTTAAGACAGTGATGGTAATATCAAGCAGAATTCCAAAATTTGGGGGGTATTAGAGTGGAGAACAGAAATGACAGAGATAAAAATTCTAGGATGGGAATAAAAGGGTCTACCTCTTCCTTTTGCAAATAAATAATCATAATCATCATATAATGATGTTAACTTTCCACTATCTCTTTGTTGAGCATTTATGGAATAAATCTCCCATAGGCTAGATGTCATATTTAATCTTATAGAATGTATACCATACCTCTTAATACCATCTGAGGTATTAAGAAACATTAAATACTGATAACAAAAGTCAAATTTGACAGAAATGGGACTGAAAATTTTAGATAACAGATAATGGAAAAAAAAGAAAAAAATTTTAATTAAAAATAGATAATAGTCCTTTAACTTACCCAAGCAGTGTGCTCTTTCAAGTAACAACCTTTGTACTCAATGGTATTAGGATGCTTCAATTGTCGTAAAAATTTGACTTCCTTAAGAATATCTTGCCATTTCTATCAAAGTCAGAAAGAAAACACTTTAATTTTTAAACTGGAAATAAGTTTATGATCAAGTATTATCAAGTATACATATATAATTTTTAAAAATTAGTTGAAATGGACAAAGTGAATGTTTAATGAACAAGTTATTTAAACTGTTATTTCTTTAGCTTTTACTACACGTAAATGTAAATCCATCACCATATTATACTAAGTCCATTATACTAACCCATGTTATATTCCACAAAATAGTTGATGGAGCTAGAATATTAGGCATGTTTATTATATGCTCCACAGAAGAGAAAAAAAAGAACTGCTGATAAAGAAATATTTAAAGAACTGTATTTCTATTGTGAATTTCATACTAACTTGTTTATTTCAGTTTAGGTACACAGCTATCTTTAACATACCTCATGTGCCTGCTTCCCACTATAGGACATTTTCTTAACTGCCACCACCTCATTAGTGTGAGCATTTGTGGCCTGTGTTAAGAGAATAGAAAAAGAAGAGGAAAAGATGTTTCAGTCAGTTTAATTTAAATATTTGACTACAGACTTTAAATAACATTCTCCTACTTTATTCTCACATTCTTTAAAGATGCTGCAACTTTTGATAGGCTAGATAGACATTTCCACCCCATTTTAAGTTGTAGCTTCTCTTAACCCCTACCTTAATGCCTGCAAAGACTATAATATAAAAAAGGATTAGGATTTAACAAAATATATCCAATCAAACAGAAACAATTCAAATTTCCAAAATACCCATATGGGCTTCACCATGTAGATTGTTCATTGGCGGAGAGCCAGGTAAATAAATATGGTATAATCATGAGTTAAAATGAAAAGAACGAGGAACTCTCTATGTATATATAGTAATATGGAAAGATGTAAAAATTATGACCAAAGAAAGCTGTACAGTATGACCTTATTTTTGCAAAACAGTAATAATGTTAAGTATATATGTAGAAAAAATTGTGAAATAATTTATACCAGAATATATGGCAGTGATAATCCCTAGAGCAGTGCTATCCAATAGAACTTTCCATGATGCTGGAAATGTTCTGTATTTACATCACACATGATAGCATGTGAAATGTGGCTAGAGTGACTGAGCAAATGGATTTTAAATCGTGTTTAATAAAAAAATTTTCTTATTGAAGTATTGTTGATATACAATCTTAAATTGATTTCAGATACACAACACACTGGTTCAACAGTTTTACAAAGTTTTGGTACATAGAAAGGAAACTATAAATGGGGGCTCCACTTTCCAGTGCTTCATACTGTATTATGAATGATTATAACCTCTAAACATTTCAAGTTTTCTTCTTGAAACTTACATTCATACTTAACCCTTCTAATAGTCTCATGGTCTCAATAGCATTAAGCAAGATAATTGATTAAAAAATATTTGAGTACCATGTGTTTCTGATATTTTCTTACCCATTTTCTAACTACATGTGGATTGTCAACTTTTTGCTAGTTTATAGAGAGATATAAAAATTAAACATCAACTTTTCTTTTTGCCCTAGATAATAAGCCTCAATGAAAACTAAAACTTATATTTATAAAACTAAAATTATAATTATACCCAGAGGACTAGAACTAAATTATGTGCTTTAGGTAGATTACAGACTATATGCTGAGTTCAACAAGGCAACACTAAATACCTAGGAACTTCATAGTTGTGTTTAAATGAGTACAAAAATGAACATGCTCAGCCTTTTTTTTTAATACAGAATTTCTTACTATCTCAGTTGTTAATGCTGCTAATTTTTGATTTACTTATGTAAATTCGAAACACAGATAAAGTTCATCAAATTAATAGTTCCCACTTTCTCTGAATATACTCAGCTGATTGATTGATTCTACAAGAGTTGGGCCAGGGTACAATTCACTTTGAACATATTTCCTTGTATCATTGTGTGTTAAAGCTGTAAACACCAGAGTCTAACAGAATTGTAGTGTTTAGGTATAAAAATGTTGGTTGCTAGACTCTGGTTTTAATGACTCATGAAAAGTAATAGTAATTAGCAGTACATCTCTCAGTTCTTTACAATTCACTAATTCATTCAACAAATACTTATTAGGTGTTCAAAATGTTCAGGTGTTGGGCTAAGTGCTAGGGATAGAACTGTGAGTAAATTTGCCCAGAACCTCTCTCTCTTCCAGTAACACAGACAGTAACAAATTAAAATAAAAACAAACTAATGTAAAATTGCAACTGTGATGTGTTATAAAGAAGGGTGTGTGTTACTTTGAGAACCCAAAATGTGGGGATGTGAGTTAGGCAGGTCAGGCCAGGCTTTTCTGAAGAAATGATGTTTCATCTGAGAGCTAAAGAGTGACCAACCAAAGGTTAAGAAGGGGAAGATGAAGAGGGAAAACATTCCAGAGAACATTTTGTGCAAAGATCCTGTAATGGATGATCAAAAGAAAGCTATTATACCAGAGCCTGAGCAGTGAGAATGGAAGGGAATATAGTTCAGGTATAGATAGGGAACACATCATGGAAGACCTCGCAGGTCGGCTAGAGTAAGGATTTTGATCTTAGGTGAAGAACAGAGGGGAGCCCCTGAAGGCTTTATAGAAAAGAGGACCTGCCCTCTGACTCTAGCAAAAAAAAGATTCTGAGAAGATGAATTAGGTTCTAAAGTGATAGAAGGAAAATAAGAAAAGAGAACTAAAAAAGTATCTCTGAGAAGAACAAACAAATATGTGCAGAATGTTTCTATGTTTTAAAAGTTTAAAATAAAGCAAAACCAAATTATATTGTTAGGATGCAGAAGTAAGTGGGTTACATATAAAGAAAAACAAGAAAATAATCACCATAAAATTCAGGAGAGTGGACTCTGCTAACACAGTAGGGGCTTTTGGGGTGCTGACAATATTCTCTTCCTTGCCTGTCTTGTCTGGTGGTTATAAAGGGGATTTACCTTTTAATCATTCAAGTTATATATTAATATATATAAGTAGGTATGTATTATGCACACTTCTGTATGTATAATGTATTTATAATTTAAGAATCCTTTTTTAAAAAAGAGTCTACGTGAAGGGGGAAGATAGGACTTTGACTGGCTTTTAAATAGTTTTTCTAAGCCCAAAACTAACATAGGAGTATTAACTAAAAAATAAGCACCTTCTTCAGTCACGGAAGGTTACTTAATAAAATGTACTTGAGTGGAAGCCAAGTATTAGATGGTGGGGAGAAGGAGGAGAAGTGGTAGTAGTGCTGAGCAGACACAAAGGGAAGAGAAAGAATTCAGAGAAAATCCAGGCTAAAGATTTGGCTAGAAATAAGATGAGCTGAAGATGCAATTAATAAAATCTCATTTGGAAGGACAACAACAGAGAAACCTCACCTAAATGGAAGAACGTGACTTCAAAAGAAAAATCAAATACTGGTTAAGAAAAAAAATTATTTGATAACAGGTTTGGAGGAAAAATAGGCAATAATTAGTACTTATAATCTACCTGCTTTAATGGACTAGTACACTTAAGGAAGTGTTTGTTACTTTGACGGAGCAAACTTCTAAGGTTATATAAATACATGAGTGAATTATATTTTATGTAATGAATTTCAGGTGAATGAGCTAAACTAACATCTTAGTTGTTTCTCATTCTTCTCATCAGAAGATAATCATGTTCCTGGAATTCAAACTGACTCCTGGGGGCTATCCTTTAACCTCAAATGACATGTCAACTGACTAGACATAATTGTTACTAAAAATCTTTGTCAGTCCATCTGTCTGAGTAGCTGTCCACTGGTACATCCATGCATCTATCTACCTATCTATCCACCATTTACTGAATTCTTACTATTGCCAGACATTATACTAGTTACTAGGGATATAACAATGAATAAGGTAGATAGACATATATAATTAAAAAAAACTTATACACAATGATTTAATTACAACTGTGATAAATGCAATGAAGTACAAGCATAAGGTGTTTTGAGACCATAAAGAAAGTCTTAATTCAGTGCTGGAGGGTTGAATAGGAAAGGCTGTCTTGTGGAATTAACACTTAAATTGAAATCTGTAGAATAAACAGAGTTAGACAGGGTTGGAGATGCAACGTGCAGAGTTTTCTAGGTGGGAGGAATAGCCTATATAAAGTCCGTGAGGTAGAAAAGAGAGTGGCATATATGGGAAATACACAGGGCTCAAATGCAAGCTTACAACTTTTTTGTACTACATTGATACCAGAGTCAGTTGATAATAGGTACCACTGACTTGAATAATGCCTCGAATTGCATGACTGGCTTTTCAGCAGTGATTATTTGCTTCTACTGTAAATACCATTTAATTTGTAGAATAAACAATAAAACCAAGTATATCTTACAAATAATAGAATGTACAGAATTCAAACTTTCTTAACTTGATTTAAATGATTCTTTTTAATTACTTACAAAATAAACTGCCCCAAAACTTCCATGTCCAATTTCATGCAGACCAATAAAAAGTTCTTCAGGATCATCCCGGTAGAACAGATCAGCAATCTCTGGGTCCTTTGGCACCCCTTTACGCATGATGACCAGTATTTGCAAGTGTTTTGCTTTTGATATCCCAGTCAGCTTTATCTCTCATTGACAATATTTTTTTGGTAAATTTTTAGTACCTGTAGAAAAATAAGGTTTGACATCAACTTATTTCTAAACTATTTTGATTGGTGGCAATATAAATTAATATTAAAAAGCATCTTAGTCTTACAACTTCATAATAAAAAGATAAATAGCCCAAGAGAAAAATGGGCAAAGGATCTGAATAGACATTTCCCCAAAGATACACAGTGGCCTTTAACACATGAAAAGATGTTCCATATTATTAGTCATTAGAGAAATAAAAATAAAAACCACAGTGAGATACCATTTTATACCCACTAGGATGGCTATTTCCAAAAAGTCAGATAATAAGTATTGGTAAGGATGTAGAGAAACCAGAACCTTAAAACACTGCTGGTGGGAATGTAAAATAGTGCACCATATTAGGAAACTGACTGGCAGTTCATCAAAAACTTAAACATAGAGTTACTATTTAATCCAGCAATTCCACTCCTTGGTATATACTCAAAAGAAATAAAAAGAACATGTCCACACAAAATTGTGTGCATGGATATTATTAGTAACATTATTCATAATAGCCGGAAGGTGGGAACAACCCAAATGTCCATTTGGTGAACAAATAAGCAAAATGTGGTATGTCTATACAATAGAATATCATTCAGGCATAAAAAGGAATGAAGTACTGATACATGTGACAGCATGGATAAATATTATAACTATTATGCTAAGGGAAGGAAGCCAGTCACAAATGACTATATGGAGGAGGGTTGGGAGTGATAGCTAAAGGGTATGGACTTTCTTTTTAGGGTAATCAAAGTGTTCTAAAATTGATTGTGGTGATGGTTACACAACGGTTAATATACTAAAAACCACTGAATTGTACACTTTAAATGGGTAAATTGTATGTAAAAAATACATCTCAATAAGTCTGTTATAAAAAGCATTTTGGTCTACATAATATTGAAATGATAACAGTTAACATTTATTAAGCACTACTATGTATCCGGCAACACTATTGTTATTTTGATTTTATAGAACAATCTAAGACAGAGAGGCAAAACTACTTCCCTATGTTCAGGACACAAGTATTTGTCAGAAATGGGACCCAAACCCAGATCCAACTGCAAAATCCATGTTCCTAATTAACATGCAATGTATACATGTAGTAGAATAGGTAATTTAACAACTGTTTGCGAACCACTGAAAGAAACTGCTATAATTAGGCAACTATGCTAAGTGTTCACTTAAAGGTCATTTTGCTACTTATACGAAGTATTATGAGTTCAAAGTTTCTATTATTGGAAGGACGTCATTTTGACATGCTTACATATTGGTTGTCAATAGTTACATTTACTGGATATAGAACCTTTTTATTCATTTTCAAAAAATATTGAAATGTTAACTTCCACCTACTTTTTTTTTACTCTAAGTATTCCCTACTCAAGAATCATTAATTCCAACATTTGAACTTATCTCAAGATAGTTTGTGTTTCTTCCTTGATCCACTAGATAATAACACTAGAAATTTGGTTATTGGACAATACAACTGTATTTTGCAAAACATGAGTCAATGGGCTTCACTTAAGGAGAAGAGAAATAGGAGGTCGTTATAGAAGTAAAACTGAGCAGTTAAGAGGCATTTTTCTCTTGTGACATGACAGTCTTAGGAGACAATGTACATTACTTCATATGGTTAGTCTAGTTATATCATTACCATACATGGGTCATCAATCAAACTATCCATCTATCCACTGAACTCTTTTCTTGAATAAAATCAAGGAGATATTTTTGAATGTCTACTATTTGCCAGACACTACAACTAGGTATTGTAGATAGAATGGAACATGGTCCCTGTCCTTAAAGAGCTGAGAGTCAAATGTGGTGATAGGCATTAAACTACAATGACACAAATGGCAAATAGTTACAATTAATTGTTTTTTGAGGAAAAAGCAAAAAATTTTAATTTAAGGATATTTAAGGTGACCCAGTCTATTTTTTACTTGGATATGAAAAAGCATGCCTTTTTAGGGAAAATAAAAGTAGTTCATTCAATATGGATATATGGTGGGGTTGGAAGGAGAAAATATAAAGTTAGTCTTAAGCCAAGGAAAATCACATTAAGCCTTTTAAACCATATTAAGAATTTGAACTTTATCCTGAAGACAACAGGGAGCCACTGAAGGCTTTAATTAGGAAAAATGATTCCCTTAAAACACTGCACCTGTAATCCTGGGCAGTCATCATGCCAAACCATGAATACCAATAATCAAGCCTAAAGTCAGTGTATCAATATTATGAGAAAGTAACTTAAACCTGGTAATTTGTCAATCAGGTGACAAAGTACACAAAGTTCACAAAGTGCTATGGCCTTCATTGCTTAAGTTTGAAAGCAGAAAAGAGAAACGATGGATTAAATCAAAGCAAATTATGAGATTGCCTTCAGGAAAAAACAAAAAAACCTACAAACTAAATTTATGAGAACTAAAAATCTTTTCAGTCATCAAAATATGTTTCATAGTTTTTAATATTTTGATTTTAATCTAAATAAAACTAAGTACTATGGGAAACCACTGGAAGGATACACATATATCATTATGGCATATTATAGACTACAATGATTTTCAAAATAAATACATATTTAAATGTAAAAAAAAGAGTCCATAAAAACTTCTAAAATAAATTTCAGGTTAATATTTAATTACTAAGCAAGATAGATGCAAAAGGCATAGACTAAAATCAATAGGCTTGATTACCTACAGTTAGTAACTTCTTTATCTTAAGAAATATAATGAATGGACTTCTGCTTCCAGCTAAATTGGAGTGACAGGGATAGATTTACTATCTACTACCAGAAATAACTAACATTACAAAGAAAACAAACAAGAGACCAAAATTACTCATGAATATAGATGGAAAAATTCATAACAAAATTACAAGTAAAATTCAATGATGTATAAAATGGATAATACAAAAGACCTTTGAATAACATGGGTTTGAACTGTGCAGGTCCATTTATATGCAGATTTTTTTCAATAGATATATTGGAAATTATTTTGGAGATTTGGGACAATTTGTAAAAACATTTTCTTTTCTCTACCTTACTTTATTGTAAGAATACAGTGTGTAATACACATAACATAAAAAATATGTGTTAATCAAGGGTCAGTTGTATATCAGGATTAAGTGGATTTTATCCCAGGAATGCAAGGTTGGTTTAACACTAAAAAATCAATCAAAGTAATTTACCACATTAAAGATATGAAAAGAGGACAGATTTTCATCTCTAATGATGCAGAAAAAAAGTTTTGACAAAATCCAAAATTCATTCCTGATAAAAACTTTGAGCCAATTAGAAAAAGAAGGTAACATCCCCAACCTGATAAAGGAAATCTATAAAATATTTACAGTTAGTGTCAAATGCAATGGTCAAAGACCAAATGCTTTCTCCTAAGATTAGGGACAAGGCAAAAATATCTGCTCCCAGTGCTTCTATTCACCATTGTGTGGGATGTCCTTTATTGCACTTAAAGTGCAATAAGGAAAGAAAAAAAAATAAAAAGCATCATGATTGGAAAGGAAGAAGACTCTTCCTGACAAACAACATAATCACCTATGTAGAAAATTCAAAGGAATCTACAAAAAGATACTAATTAGTTAATCAAAGTTACAGAATACAAGATCAATATATAAAACTCAATTCTATTTCTAGATAGGAACAAATGAATATTAAAACTTTAAATTACCACTTATAATAGCATAAAAATATGAAACACTTAGGGACAAACCTGACAAAGGATATGCAAGACCTGTACATTAAAAACCACAAAATAATGGTGAAAGGAATTAAAGATAAAATGAAGAAAGATATTGTGTCAGAGGTCAGATCACTCAATACTGAGTTTTGTTTAGAAATAGAAATTGAGAAGGTAATCCTAAAATACACTTCCATGCATTTCCATGAAAATGCAAAGGACCTAGAATACACAAAATAACTTTGAAAAAGGAAAATGAAGTTGGAAGGCTGACCTAACTTAATTGCAAGATTTATCATAAGGTTAGTTAGTTATCAAGATAGTGTGATACTTCTATATAGACAGATATAGATAAGTCAATGCAACAAAATAGGTTGTCCAGAAATAGACTCATATATTTATGAACTGAATCTTTTTTATTAAGGTATCATTGATATACAATCTTCTGAAAGTTTCCCATGAACAACATTGTGGTTACTACATTCACCCATATTATCAAGTCGCCCCCACACACCATTGCAAGTCACTGTCCATCAGCATAGTAAGATGCTTTAAAGTCATTACTTGTCTTCTCTGTGCTATATTGCCTTCCCCATGACTCCCCTACATTATGTGTGTTAATCATAATGCTCTTTAATCCACTTCTCCCTCCCTCCCCACCCACCTTCCTCACCCCCTTCCCTTTGGTAACCACTAGTCTTGGAGTCTGTGAGTCTGCTGCTGTTTTGTTCCTTCAGTTTTGCTTTGTTGTTAGACTCCACAAATGAGTGAAATCATTTGGTACTTGTCTTTCTCTGCCTGGCTTATTTCACTGAGCATAATACCCTCTAGCTCCATCCATGTTGTTGCAAATGGTAGGATTTGTTTTCTTCCTATGGCTGAATAATATTCCATTGTGTATATGTACCACATCTTATTTATCTAGTTATCTACTGATGGACACTTAGGTTGCTTCCATATCTTGGTTATTGTAAGTAGTGCTGTGATAAACATAGGGGTGCATGTGTCTTTCCGAATCTGTGATTTTGTTTTCTCTGCGTAAATTCCCAGGAGTGGAATCACTGGGTCAAATGGTATTTCTATTTTTAGTTTTTTGAGGAACCTCCATATTGCTTTCCACAATGGTTGAACTAGTTTACATTCCCATCAACAGCGTAGGAGGGTTCCCTTTTCTGTGCATCCTTGCCAGCATTTGTTGTTCCTTGTCCTTTGGATGTTGGCCATCCTAACTGGTGTGAGGTGATATCTCATTGTGGTTTTAATTTGCATTTCCCTGATAATTTGCGATGTGGAGCATTTTTTCATGTGCCTGTTGGCCATCTGAATTTCTTCTTTGGAGAAGTGTCTAGATCCTCCACCCATTTTTTTAATTAGGTTATTTGCTTTTTGGATGTTGAGGCGTGTGAATTCTTTGTATATTTTGGATGTAATCCCTTATTGAATATGTCATTTACAAACATATTTTCCCATTCTTTTTGTTCTACTAATGGTGTCCTTTGCTGTACAGAAGCTTTTTAGTTTGATGTAGTCTCATTTGTTCACTTTTCCTTTTGTTCAGGAAAAAGTTGCTCATGTTTATATTCAAGAGATTTTTGCCTATACTTTCTTGTAAGAGTTTTATGGTTTCATGACTTACATTTAGGTCTGTGATTCATTTCAAGTTTACTTCTGTGTATGGAGTTAGACAATAATCCAGTTTCATTCTTTTACATGAACAACTGAATTTTGATAATGGTGCACAGGCAATTCGGTGGAGAAAATCTTCAAAAAATGGTGCTGGGACAATTGTATGAACATATGAAAAAAAATCTTTCATTCATACTGACACCATATAAAAATTAACTCCAAGTGGATTATAGAACTAAATGTAAAACACACAACTGAAAACATCTTTGAAGAAAACACACAGGTGAAAATCTTTGTAACCTGGGTTATGCAAAGATTTATTTGATATAAAAACAATCCATAAAATAAAAAATTGATAAATTAGTCTTCACCAAGATAAAAAGTGTACTTTTTGGAAGGCTTTGTTAAGAGAATGAAAAGACAAGCCTCAGACTGGGAGACATTTCTGCAAAATATATCTCATAATGGACTTGTACCCAGAAAATATAAAGAATCCGTAAAACTGAATAAAAAGAAAATGAACAACACAATTTTGAAAATAGGGAAAAGGTTAGAAGAGGTGCTTCACCAAGGAAGATATGTGGATGGCAGCTAAGTAAAAGAAAAGATGCTTAATATCACTATTCATTAGGGAGATACAAATTAAAACCCCATGAGATACTACTAAATACCTATTAGAATGGCTAATGTTAAAAAGACTGACCATACCAGGTGTTGGCAAGGATGTGGAGCAACTGTATCTTTCACACACTGCTAGTAGGAATGTGAAATTGCTGTAAACAGTTTGGAAAACAGTTTGGCAATTTCTTAAGAAGTTAAACATACATCTACCATATGATATAGCCGTTCCACTCCTAGGTATTTACCCAAGAAAAATGAAAGTATATGTCCACACAAAGCCCTGTACACAAATGTTCATAGCAGCTTTTTTTGAATAGCCCCAAATGGAAACAACCCAAATGTCCATCAACAGAGGAACAGATAAATAATCTGTGGTACAAGCAGACAATGGAATGCAGCTCAGCAATAAAATGAACTACTGGTACATGCTACAACATGGATGAATCTGCAAATACTTATGCTGAGTGAAAAGAAGCCAGACCAAAAAAAAGTACATAGTTAATGATTTCATTTATAAAAAATTCTAGAGAAAGCAAAGTAACAGAAAGCACATTCAGTTCAATGGTTGGGGATAGGGTTGGGTGAGAAGAGGAGGGAGGGAGGGAATAATAATGGAGTATGAAGAAGCTTTTGAGAGTGAAGGATTTGTCTATTATCTTCATTATGATTTTATACACACACACGTTAAAACATATTCTTTAAATATGTTCAGATTATTGTATGTGAACTATATATATACAAGGTTGTTTTAAAAAAGATGTACTAAAGATATTTGAAAAGCAAATAAAATGGGGATGGTTCTTCCAAAATATGCATTAGTTTAGTTATTCTTAATATCCAACAGGTTAACACATACATATACCTATATCCATCCACATACTCAAAGACATAAATAGGAAATTTAAAAAGAAATAGCAATGACTATTAATGGTATGAAATATGCCTAAGTCCATTAGGAATAAAAGAAGTAAAAAGTAAAATAATAAGACACCTCATTTCACCCACCAAATTGGCAAAGAAATAGAGAAAAGATGGTTTTGGTGAGGGCACAAGGAAACAGTAATTTCTATATATGCAGAAAGAACGGAATAGGTACATTCTTTGACCAAGTAATAACCTTCTAGGAATTTATACAAGGTAGTTTCTTTCTTGTTTGTTCTGTTTTGCTTTAGTGAAAGTGGGAGGGTGTAAGTAGGCAGCACACAGGAGAGAGGACAGGGAAGATGGGAAACACTGCTTTTTTCATCCGCAAGTTTGGATTTCTTTGCAGGCTTGTGTTTTATCTGATGTATGTGTTGGAATTTTGAGTAGTTATTTCCTTCTTTTTGCTTATCTGTATTTTTCAAATCTTCTGTAAAACCTAGTACTTCTCTAATAAGAGGAAAAGTGCTATGAGAAATTTTGTTATTTCAAAGTCTAATGATAAAGCACAACAAAAAATGGCAGCATTTCCAGAAAATAATTTGATAATAGGAATCAAGAAATTTTAAGCAAGCTCATTTCATTTAACCAAGTAATTATCCATATTGTAAGCTAAGAATAATGAAAATCAATAAGGAAATAGTTTGAAATGAAAACATTTTTAATAAAAGAATTTATGACTTTATTAGTATTTACTTACTGATTAACTTTTTTTGCAAATACAATAAAAATTCCTTACAGAAAAACAGAAAATACAACTTGTTCTCATTTTATAGGAGGAAGCTAAAGCATGGGTCTATACAATACCTCTTTGTGTATGGCACAAAATATACTGTATTTCTCAGATTCATTTTAGCAGCAATCTTTTTTTCTTCTTTTATTAACTTCAGTCTTTTGTATTTATGGTACACCTATGGAAAAAGGGAATAAAACATACAATTACAGGTGCAAAATTAAACAGCCAATAATAGATAATATGGTAGCTTTAAATATTTACAAATGTGATATTACAAAGTTAGAATTTCATCTTCATCTGTTTGTGGATGACAAATGTAACAGGTAAGAAATTCACAACAAAGACCAGGCTACTACTCTTTCACAAGTAATACCAGAGAAACAAAAATGTCATTACATTTCGGAGTCTATATTGAGACTTTCATTGGTTTGAATCCAAGGAAGCTCAACAGAGGCTACTAGTAAGTAGACAGGACTAATCTGCTGGCATACGGTGATGCTACTGATTGTCAGTAAGGTTGTATTTTGAATTACTTTTCCAGCGGGCATGATGATTTACGTTGACTCATTACCTTCCCTTTCCTAGGCTCTCCTATGACCAATCTTTTACATTTGGCTGGTAATGACTGTTCTTTCTCATCTACTAAAGAAGTACATGCTCAATGTAGAAATCTGGGAAATGTACACTATTATGAAGAAAAATCCATAATCCCCTCCAGAACAAACTCCATTAAGAACTTGGCATACTTTTCTCCACGCTTATATTTATTTCTTTATGCCCATATTTATTTTGTTATATAGCTGAGATCACATAATAAATATGATTCCATAGTCCGTTTCTTTTGTCTAACTCTATATTATAAGCATTTTGCCATTGTTGTCCATCAAGCACGGTTCACAAAGATCATTTTGATGTTGCTCAATGTATATTTTATGGAAAAGCCAAAATCACAGCTGTTTCTTCACAACTGGAAACCAAGGCCATATTGAACCCTTTGTTGAACCATTTAAAATTATTGTATTTTGCAAATCCTACCATTTGCAACAACATGGATGGAGCTAGAGGATATATGCTCAGTGAAATAAGCCAGGCAGAGAAAGACAAGTACCAAATGATTTCACTCATCTGTGGAGTATAAGAATAAAGCAAAAACGAAGGAACAAAACAGCAGCAGACTCACAGAACCCAAGAAGGGACTAACAGTTACCAGAGGGAAAGGGACTGGGGAGGATGGGAGGGAAGGGAGGGACAGGGGAGGGAAAAAGAAAGGGGGCATTAAGATTAGCATGTATAATGTGGAGGGGGGCACAGGGAGGGCTGCACAACACAGAGAATACAAATAGTGATTCTACAGCATCTTACTACACTGAAGGACCGTGACTGTAATCGGGTATGTGGGGGGGACTTGGTGATGGGGGGAGTCTAGTAAACATAATGTTCCTCATGTAATTGTAGATTAATGATACCAAAAAAAAAAAATCTTCACAAGTCACAGGATCTTAAGTTATACAGCAGAGTTGAGGAGTGGAGTGGAAGAGGCTGGAGCTCCCCTAAATTCTTTCTGTACTGGTGCCTTTCTGGTTTGTTATTCACCTGCAATTTAGGGTTTCTTTATTTCTTTATTTTATTTATTATTTATTTATTTATTTTTATTTTGTTATCATTAATTTACAATTACATGAAGAACATTATGTTTACTAGGGTCCCCCTTCACCAAGTCCCCCCCACAAATAGGGTTTCTTTTGAATGGATTTGTAGAACTAGAGTTATTGGGTCAAAGAATATAACAATTTAAAACTATATATTGGAATAATTTCTAGATACTTGACTAACTTTGAAGGTGAAGGCCTTACAGGGGGAATAAAACACCAGAAAAAGGTATTGACCTCCATACTTACATTTTTCTTGTGGAGGCTATTCAATCTCCTCCATGTCTATATTTATAAAGTTAATATTTTTTCATTATTTTTGTTATTCCTAGTCTGATTCTCTGGCTGTGGAATGTTTTAGATTAAGTGGTAGCTGGAATCCTCATCACATTTTCCTAACCACCACCAATCAATAACTGCAATATCTGCATGTCTACCCTGCTGATCTTGCCTGAGAGTAGCTTTAATGAATTAAAATATTCCTTATTATATGAATACTAGTTGTGAAATTTCTAAGAAAGTAATTTAAAGTACGGCATTTGCTAAACATCTGTCCTAATTTGAAAGGCAGGAGACATTCACTCCTAGAACATAGTTTTCTCATCCTATGGACATGCAGATATAGTGTTTTTCTTCTCTCTAAATTGTTATTAATTTTTACATATTTTTGAAAAATATGTATTCTCTCCATCTTCAGTTGCACAGCTCTACAAATGTTCTAAGATAAACTTGTTAAGACTTCTAAGAACTAAACTTTCTTGGCTTTATCTTTTTTTTTTTTTTCCCTGGAATACTGCACATGATATTAGGGTGGAAAACTACTCTGAAATTCATCCATTACACCTAAAGGATTTTCTCAGTTTTCTTTCATTTCACCTTCTTTCTTTACAGATGTCTCCTGGATTCCATGAAACTTTCTTCTTGTTTTTCCAAATTATACCTCCTGTAGTTTCTCTTCTCTCTCATCCCTAAATGAATGTGTTCCTCCAAGTATATGCCTGAAGCCTTCTTTGTGACTGCACGCTGCTGTCCTAATAGCTGTCCATTAATGGTTTCAAATAACACAATGCCACTCCATTCTAAGGTCCATTCCCATATTTTCACCTGTCTATGTGCCTTTTCCCCTAAATGACTTACACAGACCTCATATTAACTTCAATTCTTCCCTTTCCCTTGTCCCAATTAACCCACAATTCTTCAAAAAATTTTCTTTGTTCTTTAGTTTCTATTTCTGTTAGCATTCATTATCTCTTTCCTCTAGTCTATCTTTTCTGGAATTCATTTAAAAATATATTATTGTAATCATATTCTTAAAGCACAGTTCAGATTATATCATATCTCTGCAAAAGGGGAAATCCTTCAACGTCTTCCTACGGCCTACAGTATCAAGAACAACTTTGTTTAGTTTACATTCAAAGGTGGCCTCACACCATTCCTCTAGCCTAAATTCTTAAACTCTCTAATCAGGAAAAAAATGTATTACTATAGAGTTACATTTTCATATCTTTGTCTTTGCTTACGCTGTTCCTTCCCTCTGCCTAGAATATCCAAATCCCAACTACACTCACAGTCTAGCTAAACAGCACCTCTTCTTGAAGACCTACTATTTCCTCCCTTTACTTCAATTTTAAATACATACATATCTGTTCTCTAACTGGATGACAAATGTTTCTTCAGAGAGAGTATGTGTTAAATCTATGTGTTGATTAATCATTGTATCCCCATGGCAACTTTTTTTTTAAATGTTTTTTTTTTGAGGTACGATTCACATACCATACAATTAATCCATTTAAAGTTGTACAATTCAATGGTTTTTAGTACATTCATAAATACATGCAAACTATTACCCCAGTCAATTTTAGAACATTTTTATCACCACAAAAAGAAACCCCATACCCTTAATTAGCTATTATCCCCCTCCATTCCTAAGCAACCACTAATTCACTTTCTGTTTCAAAAGATTTCCTTATTCTGGACATTTCATATGAATAGACTCATATGAATATTGGCTTCTCTCACTTAACATGTTTTCAAGGTTCATCCATGTTGTAGCAAGTATTAGTATTTCTTTTTATTGTTGAATAATATTCCATTGTATAAATATACCACCTTTTGTTTATCTGTTTATCAGCTGATGGACATTTGGGTAGTTTCCAACTTTTGGCTAGTATAAAAAATGCTGTTATAATCACTTCTGTGCAAGTGTTATGTGGACACATATTTTCATTTGTCTTGATGATATACAGTAGAACTGCTGGGCCCTATGGCATCTTTATATAGCAGATACTTTATAAAAATCTGCTGAAATATCCTTCCTTTTTCATCCCAATCATACACTAAAAATGACCTTTAAATTCATCCTTCCCTCAAAACACTAACTAGGACATTTTCCCTTCCAAGAGGATAGCATTATAAGAATTAACAAGATGAAATGATATGCATGAAATTACTTTTTCCCTCTTCCTTGACTTCCTGCAACCTCAGGTGTGACATTTATAGTGAGAACTTAGAACTGTGCCAAGAATGTAGTATTTCAAGTCTTAGGCCCCTGGGCAAACTGAACAACCCAGCTAGCTTAGGATAGAAGATTTCATCAGAGATGTGCAACTGAAATAATTTTCTTCACTCTATTCTAAGGAATCTTCCAACAGTGATAATCAAGTAAATTATTTTTCACAGACACTCTGACTTAATATAAGGATGAACTCTTCATAGAGTATAAGTATACATATTTTTCACAATTTTCCTTTCCCAGAAACTTTCAAGGAAAATTATTCACAGAAGATCTTAGCTGCCTTTCAGTGTTGTAATCACAGTACTTCAACAATAAACCTGGAGCCAACTAGTTTGAAAAACACACAATATTTCAGCATTAGGTAGTAAGACTCAGAATGTTTCATATGGAAAGAATTTTAAAGATGTTTATTTCAATTTTTTTTAACTGAACCTTAGAAAAGTTAAGTATCAAATCATACCTATGTAGTAGAATTACCCCAAATTAAATCCATGTCTTCTGATTTCCCACTCCAGAATACTCTCTTCTGAATTAAGCTGCCTAAGATGGACTTCAAAACACCAAAGGTGTTCCTATTTTGCTGTACATTGGAGGATAATCAAGGAAAGTTAAATTTAAGATTGGACTTGTGTGTCATGATTTCTCTCAAGACTCTCATAACACTATATACTGGTGGACTTGACTCTTTTGGAGAATAAAGTATAAGCAAATTTGGTGATCTCTGTAAGAAAATTTTTTTTACAAAATTCACAAAAATAGGTATAGGGCCTTAGAAGGGGCTAGCACACATAAGGGGCTCTGAAACTTAAGCTTCACGGTAAATTAGCCTGTGTAAATTCCTATAATTTCATTCATTATCTTGTTCCAGGAGGGTAAACAGAGGCAGGTAAAATCTTCATTTTACAGAATTGAAAAGTGAAAAATAAATATTCGATAGGACTTTTTCTAAAGCCAGTACTCGTCCAGTTTTCTCCTCCTATAAAGCAACTTCCCAAATAGACTTGAAGAGAA